CTCTGCCTCCCAAGTGCTGGGATTAAAGGTGTGCACCACCACGCCTGGGCACATTTGGTTCTTTTTTAACTGATTTTTCCTACCTTGGAGGGAATATTTCTCCGAGGTTACTTAGGGGCTTATTTAAATGTCCTAATTGCAATTCCACTTGACCCAGTATATGTTGTTCATTATTTATTTGTGATATTTGCATGTTGTATGCTGTTTGTTGTTTTTTAGTGGTTGGTCTTCTCAGGTGTCTAATGATCTTGGCCATTAGTTATTTTCTCCTGAGGAATGTGTCCTTGGGTTGAGCTAGGGATACAGCTCAAGTCTAGTCAGTGTCCCTCCTGTAAGCTTGAGGAACAGGAGGGATGAGACTTGGGATGAGAGCCCCAAGCATAACAAAACTCTGCTCTCCAGTGCCCCATGTCATCCAGGCAGTGAGCAAGCATGCTCTTAGAAGGAGCCCCAGAGACAGGTGATTATAGACTGCAACACACTACCTGTAGGGAGGTAGAAAGAAGGGGTGGGAGAATGGATGTCCAAGACTGGCCGGTTAGGCTGTGCCTGTTTTCATCACGGCCACCCCTGTGGGACTCCCACACTCCTCTATGTGATTATATTGATCCCAGGTGATTTGGGCTGATTTCCATTCCAGTGGCCATAGTCATTGGGAATTCTTTTCAAAGCAGAAGGGAAGGGTGACCAAGAACAGAATTTGAGAGTCATTCTGTGTTATATCATACCACCATTGCCTAAGATGCAGCATGGCTCTTGCCTCACTGCCAGGTCATAGCCTCCTATCCCTGCAGGGCCTTCTAATTGATTTCACACACCTGTCATTTCTCTAGAGTTGAATTTAACAGCAAGGGAAGCAGTAGCCTGTGTTGGTTTGCCTTCTTTTGTGATGTTCCTACAATAAAAGTGAAATGGGAGAAAGTGCATCCCCTAGAGGGTTCGTAGCCTCATTCACAAGAGAATTTAAAAATGGACCCATATGGAAGCTTTTACAATTTTATTAGAATTTTAAAGAAAAATCCTCAGGCAGGCAAGCTGGTAATCTCGGCATCTGCCTTGAGGAGGAGAATGGAGGGGAGAAGGAAAGAAAGTCATGAAGCCATGCAGGTTTAGTGCCTGGATGGTCAGACGGATGGATGACTGGCTGGGAGTAGGAAGCTTTAGAAAAAGTAAAGAAATACAGGATGCTGGGGCAGCCCAAAGCCTTAAATAGAGCATGCTTAAAGAAGGGATATGAAGAAGAAAAGGAGAAATTACAGTTTTCTGAAGAATTCAGAAAAGTGGGCAGACTTCCAGGTCTGTGGCTGGATCAAGGAGTTCTGCCCTAGGAGGTGGGATTCCAGGCAGGAAAAATTCACTACCTCATTAACTAACATACCAGGTATTCCACCCATCTATTTAGCATAACAAGGTGAGCCCGCCTTCCTAGGAGTGAGCCTATGACCAGATAATTGACCAGTGAAACTGGAAAGGTGAGCCTTCCAACAGATAGACTAGAGATTTTATAGTCTTGACCAGTTAAGTTTATGGGGCTTTTTGCTACTCTAACAAAAGGAAAAGGGAAAGATTCAGGCAGTGACCTAATTCACAATCCTGCGTGGCTGTCTTATTCTTGTGCATTTATTAGCTCTTTTAAAATAAGTCATTGAAGGATCACTCAGTCTGTGGGCTGATGCTTTGGAATCTTGGGAATGATAGCTTTTCTAATTTCAAAGTTCATCTTCCATTTATTTGATGATATTCTTCTGAAAAGAAAAGGCTTTGCTCTTTAAAGTGCAGATGACAGCTGTAAGAATGTAGGAGCGTGGAATGGAGGATAAACACTTAATTGTCCCTTTAGTTACATTTTGTTAGAGATTTGATGTAATAGTTACCTCTAGTGGTAAAAATATTTTAATATTTTTCATGTATCACTATGGACTCATGGATTTTTATCTATCAAATGTTTATAATAATCTATAGCCATCTTTTTTTTTTTCACAACATTTGTCAAAAGATTGACTTGTGAACCAATTGGTACCTACAATTTGGGCAGCTTCCTATCTACACTTATCTTAATTTGTTCCCTTATTTTCCAACATAATAAAACATATCTGACACAACTGGTACCTTCCTCGCCTCTGATGTACAATTAGCTATTTTTCAGTGATGCTCTGCTTCCTTTAAGGGAGAGATGTTGACAGATGACTTGGCTGCTCAGGGTGCATGTTGTTACTGTGGGTGCATTAGTACTCTCAGATTTCCGAGAGTGCCAGTTTTAAGAGCTCTACATCCGTATTGGTATTTCCAATTACAGTTTTTCCCAGGAATATAATTGAATTTTGGGAAACTCCTCTGGGCATCTCACTCTTTAGCTTTTCCTTTTAAACTTTTATTTGGTCTATATTTACGCCTCTTGCTATCACCTGAGGACATCAAGCTATCAAAACACTGAAGAGCATTGCTCTCCTCCAAACCTTTTAGCATCGCTGTAAGTCAGGTGGAATACAGACAGTCCTTTGACCAGGAAACTGCTAGAAAGGAAATGACTTCTTTTGGGAACAAGGCTTTGAAGGCACCCCACTGCTTCCTACTCTCTCCAGTGTTTGGAATACTGGCTGTTATTTTCCAAGGCTGTACAGATCAAGAGAGTGGGAGGTAGGTCTAGGGTAAGTTAATATCACAGGGTTTGCTGTCCATATGGAAATTCAGCCTTTTCCTTATCAGAATGCACTGTGGATTGCTACAAGTTTTTAGTTAATATCCAAAATTCTAAAACAATTTTGACATTTTTATGGGGTCAGTTTTCTTCTTGATCTTATGGATCTTCCTCTGCTGTTTTCATTCTCTCAGTTAATTTCAAATTTCAGACTATTTCCAAAATTTGAGAGGTGAGTTGGTATTCCAGAAGTTGACCTTAAAATTCATATGAACAAATAAGAATAACTTGGAAATCACTCAAAGTATAATGATGTAAAAACAATCCCACCCAATACGAATATATATATTTTAAATATTTTATGTATTACTTCTATTTTATTTTATACATATGAGTGTATTACCTGCGTATGTGTAAATGTACTCATGTCATGCAGTGCCTGCAGAGGTCAGAAGAGGGTGTTGGATCCCCTGGAACTGGAATTACAGATGATTGTTAGGCACCATGTGGGTGCTGGGAACCGAACCCAGATCCTCTGCAAGAGCAGCCAGTGCTCTTCACTGCTGAGCCATCTCTCCAGCCCCTTAAGATATACTTTAAAATACGCAGTAATGATTAAAACAATGCTATTCTAGCAATAAATCAATCAATGGAGCAGAACAAGGAATCCAGAAGAAGAACCAATATTTAAAGTAATTGAGGGTAAAATACCAATGGTTTGCTTCTCAGTGGGAAGGTGATATTTAGAAAGTCAAGTTGAATTTTTATCTAACTTCTTAAAAGAAAATAAACCTTAGATATATCAAAGATTTGAATATAAAAAGAAAATTATTTTTAAAAAATCAAGGAAGTTGGGAGATGGGACAAAACAGTCTCAGAGTGGAAAGACCACAACTAGCCATAAAAAGTAAAACAAAGGGAAGTAAGTCACAGTGGTACACTTGCTCATGAGAATGGTATGAAACAATGAAAGTGGATGAACTAGAGCTGTCCAGGGTGCACTGGAGTCTCATAAACACAGTGACGAGTTAAAGAAGATCAATGCTACAGAATCATAGAGGATGAAGCCATCCCCATGGAATTAAAAACAAGGAAAATAAGCCATGTATGCATACAGATGTGGTCAACCTGTAAAGAAGTGAAAGGAAATTATTATTATTACTTTTAGTCTTTTTGAGACAAGGTAGACCAGTAGCCCCAGCTGTCCTGGAACTTGCTATGTAGACCAGGCTGTCCTCGAACTCACAGAGATCCACCTGCCTCTGCCTTCCAAAGGAAATGATTATTATAAAAATCCAAATCGCTATTGTCTCTGGGGTGATGGTTCAGAGAACAAGGGCATGTGGGAGGCCTCTGGGGATGGCCGTACTCTATTTTGACTTAAGCATTGGTCTCCTGGGTGTTTGTTTAATATGAATTATTCATCTCAGGCATAGAAACTTTCCTTATGCCCTTTCTTTTTTTGGTCTTTTTGAGACAGGGTCTCCCTGTAGCCCCAGCTGTCCTGGAACTCAGTAGGTAGACTAGTCTCTAGTCTGGCCTCGAACTCACAGAGATCCCCTTGCCTCTCCCCTCCCCTCCCCTCCCCTCCCCTCCCCCCACTCCCCTTCAATAATGGCTCCTAATCATGCCACTCTCATGTCCCAGGACATTTATTTACTCCTTGCTCACCAGAGGGAGGCCTTTTCCAGTTGTGATCTTTTTGAGAGCAACTGCCTTCTGCATTGGAAATGGATTATTTCAAGGCTACTATCTGACTTACTGTGCAGAATACCCTGAAGAGTGGTATACAGATGGACGGTTTAGTTTGGGTAAGTGAATCTGACCATCTCTCATTCCTTCTCAGCTAACACCAACCCCATAGTGTCAGTCATCCTTTCTCTCTCCATCCTGCTGCCTCAGCCTCCTCACCATCCTTTTCTCTGCTCACATCTCTACTCTGTTTTTTTCCTTATATGGCAGCTGGAGAGATTGTTTAAACGTGTATCATGCCATTTCCCATCTCAAGACAGTCCAGTAGATTTCTACTGCTCCCAAGATTAAAAACACAGATCCTCCCTACTGCCTGTAAAGCCCAAATGTTCTTGGTCTTTCTGGTTTCCAGTACTGTTTTTCTGCCCCTTCCACCCCATTTTCTGTGCCAGCCCCATAGCTTTGCTGCCAGGCTTCAAGCCTGTTCTGTCTCAGAGCTTCTGTCCAGGACTCTCCCTGTTCCTAGAGTGTTCTGCCTTGCTGAGCTGGGGAGTTTGCTCCTCTCACTCCCTTTACTCAGGTGTCTACCAATTTACCCTTTATCAAAGAGGCTTTTTCTGAATACCTCACCCAAAAGAATAGAAGATATTGATGATTGAATTTGCCCCCTGCTTGTTCTCTCTCCCTCTCCTCTCTCTGTCTCTCTCTGTCTTTCCCTCCCTCCCCCCACCTCTCTCTCTGCATGTGGAGGCCGGAAGTCAACTTTGGATGTTGTCTGTTTTCTGAGACAAGGTCTCTCACTGAACTTGGAGCTGCTGATAAGGCCAGCTAACCCCAGAGATCTGTCTGTCTCTGCTTCCCCTGAGCTGGGTTGACAAGTGCATGCCACTATGCCTGGCTTTTTTTATGTGGACTCTGGGGCTCAAACTCAGGTCCTCAAGCATGTAAGTAAACGACTTTACTGACTGAGTTTTCTCCCCAGCCCCCTTTCCCCTATTTATAAGAATTAAGATCCAAGGAGTTTTAGTTCTTTGTACACTATTTTGGCTCGAACAAAAAATAGTAGGTCAATAGAGATCATCCTTAATCCTATTAGTATCATATATTACAATCTGCACATCAGCTTACTGTTTCTTGCTCTGTCTCTCGAACCTGTACTGACTGAACTCTTCTCCCTGTTACACTGACCACAGTCTAGACCAAGCCACAATTATCTCTACCTCTACACTGAGCTTCCTGCCTCCATCCTATTCTTAGTCCCTTGCCTATGCCGCAGTTAAAGTGAACATTCAAAACTCACAGAGGACCAGAGGCTTCACTGAATGAATGCCAGCCCATGTATACTGTAGAGTATCTATAATGTCTGTTCATAAAACAAAGGAAGCAAACAAAACATTAAATATGGAAGATCTCTGTGTACTCATGTGGGGAAATCTGCAGGTGATGAGGTTAACTAAAAACTAAGGTGTGAATTGTTTTATGATGTATTTTTAATGTAAAAATGTGATAGAAGAAAAATGTATGTAACTGGAAAAGGAATATTGAGACTTTATAGACTTCTCTATGTGTCTCAAAGAAAAGGGCTGGAGTGGGTGGGCTGAACTTTTTTTCAATATAACTTTGGTCTTTAGATGATGTATTTCATTACTTAAGAAGGAAATACATTGGGGGCTGGTGAGATGGTTCTGTGGTTAAAAGCACTGACTGCTCTTGCAGTAGACCCAGGTTCAGCTCCCAACACCCATATGGTAGCTTACAACTGCCTATAATCCTAGTTCCAAGGGATTTGATGCCCTTTTCTGGCCGCCTAGGGCTCCTGCACACATTTGGAGCCCATATACCCATGCAAACTCACACACATACACATAAATAAAAAGAAAAAAGAAAAATACATTGAAGAAAAGTTCTCCCCGATTGAGAACAGACACACCCCTTATATATTGAACTAATAATGTAACCACACTGGAAAATATCTTGTGCCAGTTCACAGGAAATATAACATAGACCCATGAGGAAGTGATCTAGTCATATTTGGAAAAAAAGGACCGTTTGAGGTACAATTGTTCTTGTGAACAATATTCTGAATGGAAAAAAGAAGCCTGGGCTGGATTAAAAGGGCCTTAAAGGACATAATAACCAGAAGCCAGCTGAGACCCTATATGACCTTGGTTTGCACAAACCACCTGTAAGGGGCATTGGGGGACATATGAGGAAATTGGGGTATGGCCTGAAAGTTGCATAGGTGAAAATGTTAGTCCAGGTGAAAATAAAGTGCTGCACACTAAGGTGCTTTGGGGGTGATTTGGGGTGGTAAGGATGAGTGAAGTGGTTTTACTAACACAAATTCATGCTTCATAGTCAATACAGTGTGTATATTTCTTTCACAAAATAAACAGAAATGAGATTCTACTTCTTCCATGCTTAAAGCCATTTCAGGGAAAAGTCCAAACCCCTCCAAAAGGCCTGAAAGTCTTTTTTTCCTTTTTTTTGGTTTTTTTTGAGACATGGTCTCCCTATAGCCCCAGCTGGCCTGGAACTCACTATGTAGATCAGGCTGGCCTTGATCTCACAGAGCTCTTCCTGCCTCTGCCTCCCAAGTGCTAGAATTAAAGGCATGTGCCACCACGCCCGGCTTTCTTTTTTTCTAGCAGCATTCATTTTATTAAACCTGTGACTAATTCATTGCCCTGTGACTAATACTTATTTTACACATGTACATAATTCTGGTTTCCTTCCATCTTATTTCCTTCTCAGGACGACTCCCCTTACGTTTTATTGGTAGAACTAGGTCATGTAATTGCTTTTCATTTTCAGCCTTTATAGTAGGGGATTACAAATGAGAAGAAGATGGAATTGGCTATTGAGTTAACCAACCAGTTGGTTATTTGTGAATGAGCCAAGAGCTTACTATTACACACTGATTTATTTCATTTAGTTATCTAAATATGGCATGATGCTGTTGCCTGTCGCTTGCCTCCCTTCTCCCACCTCTGTCCATTGTACATCACTGTGCATGCCAGCATTTTGCCTTAAGAAATAGCACAACCTCTCTTCCACCCAAACTTCAGATCGTGTTTTAGTGCTATTCTTGGATTTAGCAATTAAATGCCCCTTTTTTATTTTAAAGAAAAAACCTTTAGCTTATGTGAAAACACCAAAATCAGGACATATTTTTTGACTTGTCCCATCTCTTCTCTCTTCTTTGCCAAGGTGTCTTCCTATTTATTTTGGGGATGGGAATCAACATTCATAGTGACTACATATTGCGCCAGCTCAGGAAGCCTGGAGAAGTCATCTATAGGATTCCACAAGGTAATGGCTCTCCTGACTCCCAGATTCCCATTCTTTTTTGGAGCCTGTCCCAGGGATGACAATGAGGAGGGTTCATGAAAGCACAACTATACAATGCATATACCTTGGTTTGCCTCTGACTTCCCCTGTATGCATGTCCCTTCCTTAGTATATCTGCATTTCTGTTATGAACCCAGGAACTTAAGAGAGCTGCAAGAGAGCTGGGAACATAGTTCAACTGGTATGCACGAAGCTCTGCTGGGTTCTATTCCAGCACCACATAAAACCAGGCAAATGGTGGATGAGAGTGAGAGAGAGAAAGAGAGCTGGAGGGGGGTAACAAGAGTCCTTTCCCCAACCCCAGGAAGGATTCTAGACTTGGGTAGGAGTAGAGAGAACAGGTTACAGCCTAATTGCTATATACATATATATAGATACATACATATATATATATATATATGACTTATGAACAGAGTGTGGTTATTTTCTGGGTTAGCAAATGAAGCTGAAGATTTCATTGTCATGTGAATGTAATATAGTGTACTTGTGAGCCTACTGGACAGCTAGGTTATATAGTACAGCTTATTTTGAAACTCTGATTTTTTGAAAGTTGTTTTCCATTAAAACTGAGAAAAACACATCTTAGCCTGGTCCTAGGCATGATCACCATCGTTAATATCATATGTTTTACTTTCATACCCCGCAGAAGGTCTTCAGGGCTTGTGACATGCATGGAGCAATGTGTTTTGCTGTTGTTTGTTTTTCATGGACTTTATGGAACTTTTTCTAAGTAAAAAAGTTGCATTCTAGTAATAAACAGTATACTATAGTATAGTAATCAGATAAACAATAACATAGACATTTAGTGTATCAAGGATTATGTCCTGTATATAATTGTATAGTTGTGTTTTATTTTATTTATTTATTTTTTTCATTAAAAATTTTGTTTTAGGCTAGACATGGTAGAATACCTTTAAGCCTAGCACTTAGGAGGCAGAGGTAGGCAGATTTTTCTATGAGTTCCAGGCCAACCTGGTGTATATAGTGAGACCCTGTCTCAAGAAAATTTTGTTTTATGTATGTTTATATATGTGTGCAGATATTTGTGCACATGTATGCTTATCTGTGTGAAGGGCAGCAGTAGATATCAGGTGTCTCCTACAATTGCTCTTTCATCTTATTTAAAATAAAAAAAAATTGTGTATATATGTGTCTGTGTATATGTATGTGCATGTGAGTCTCCATGGAGGCCAGAAGATGGTGTCAGATACTTTGGAACTAGAGTTACAGGTGGTTATGAACTGACCAACATGAGTGTTGGGAGCTGATATCAAGTCTTCTGCAAGACCCTTGAGTACTCTTAACTAGTGAACCTTTTCTCTAGTCTTTCATCTTATTTTTGAGACACAGTCTGTCACTGAACTGGAGCTTGCCAATTTCAGCTAGACTGGCTGGGCAGCAAGCTCTGGGGATCCTCTTGTTTCTGCTTTTCTGGCTCTGGGACTATAGGCATGTGCCACTGTGCTTGGCTTTTAAAAATTATTTTTTTAATATGTATGAGTGTTTTGCCTGTATGTTTGTAAGTGCACCCATGTCATGCAATGCCCACTGAGGTCAGAAGAGAGTGCTAAGTCCCCTGGAACTGGAGTTATGGGCAGTTGTTAGCCACCATGTGGATGCTGGACCCAAACCCCAGTCCTCTACAAGAGCAGCCAGTGGTCTTAACTGCTGAGCCATCTCTCCAGCCTCTTGTGCCTAGCTTTTATGTGGGTGTTGGGGATTGAACTCAAATCCCCATGCCTGCACTGAAAGCACTTTACCCATTGAGCCATTGCCCCAGGTCTCATGTCCTGTGTTTTCCTGTGGTGTGCAGTGCAGTAAGCTCATTTATACCAGGGTCACCACAGGCATGAGCTCTGCACTGTGCTATGGCACTGGTCAGTAGGTGGGGAATATTTGAGGTCTGTTATAATCTAATTGGATCACCATTATGAGTGTGATCTGCTGTTGAGTGAAATACCATTAATGTAGCAAGTGACATCAGATTCAGAGGTCAAGGTGCAGAATTTGAAATCCTAAGTGTTCCTGAGAAACCAGGGGTATTTGTTTGGCAAATGAACAGATGGGAATGAATCAGTTAAGTGATCTGTCAGTCAACTAAGTGGATTGGTGTTTCCCACTGTTCTTGATATAAATCGGATCACTTATTTACAGCAAAAATTTTCCAAAATGATGTTGGTGTAGACTGATAGTCACTGATCAGGAAAATAATGAGAGGGGCTAGAGAGATGGCTCAGTGGTTTAGAGCACCGGTTGCTCTTTCAGAGAACCCAGGTTCAGTTCCCAGCACTCACATGGCAGCTAACAACTGTTCTTGACTCCAGTTCCAGGGCATCTGACATGCCCTTCCATGGGCATTGCATGCATATAGTAGACTTACACACATGCAGACCAAACTTACTCATACACATGAAATAAAAATAAAATTTAAAACTGCCTACAAAAGAAAATAATGACAAAGCTACCATAAGTAGTAAATAAATTAAATTTACTACTACGTTTAAATAATCATAGACAGTGATTCCTCCTAAAGTCTACAGTGTCAGGCAGGGAGCCACTGACACAGTGTCATCCTTAAGGAAAGCAATATTAAGAGGCTTCCTTCTTGTATCAGCCACTTTGCTCATCACTGGGACAAAATACTGACAGAAGCAACTGACAGAAGAAGGATTTATTTCACAATGTCAGGTGGGGCAGAAGCTGCAGCATCATGATGGCAGGAGGGAGCCTGTCTCTGGTGGCAGGAACACAAGATCAGTTGCTCACATCTCTACAACCAACTAGAAAATAGAGAACTTGGCCAGCTATCACTCTCTAGCCCCACGCCTGCAGCCCTCACTCTGCCAGGCAGACCCCATGTCCAAAACCCTCCACAGCCCTCTAAAACAGCACCACCAGTTGGGGACCAAGTGCTCACACACATGGGCCTGTGAGCAGCATTCACATCCGAACCCTAACAATGCTTAAAACCTTTGCTTAATAATTAAATAAAGGAAGAAGACCGGAGACATTTACCAATGTGAGTTTCCAAATGAGTTCTGATCAAGATTTAAAGGCAAAATATTTTTAAAATTTTATTTATTATTTTTATTTCATGTGTATGAGTGTATTGCCTGTATGTATGTGCGCGCACCCATGTTATGCAATGCTGCGGAGGTCAGAAGAGGGCTTTGGGTTCCCCTGGAACTGGAGTTAAGGACAGTTTGTAGCCGCCATGTGGGTGTTGGGAATCGAACCTGGGTCCTCTGCAAGAGCAGTCAGTGTTCTTAACTGCTGAGCCAATTCTCCAGCCTCAAAAGCAAAACATTTTAATGTAACTATAGAGGGAAAAAGTTGCTTTGGTTCCCATGCCCCTCGTTTAATACGGGTCATAAAGTTTGCATGTACGTATTTACTATCATTAAAATGTGTTGATTTCAACTTACAAAAACCAGTGGCCTTTCTATATACCAATAAAAAGCAATCAGAAAAAGTATTCAAGGATTCCCTACCATTCACAATAACCACAAAAAATTAGGAATAAATCTAACCAAAGACATTAAAGATATCTACAATGCAAGTTTTAAAACTTTAAAGCTAGAGATAGAGGAAGACACCAGGAGATGGAAGGACCCACCATGCTCATGGATTGGTAGAATTAATATTTTGAAAATGACCATTTTTAACAAAAGCAATCTATAGATTCAGTGCAATGCCAATCAAAATACCCATGACATTCTTCACAGAATTAGAAAAAAATCCTAAAATTCATATGAATCATAAAGACTCAGGATAGTCAAAGCGATCAGGCAAAAAGAACAATGCCGGGGGAATCACCATACCAGATCTCAGATTATATTACAGAGCTATAGTCATAAAACCAGAATAGCACTGGCTCAAAAATAGACATGTAGATCAATGGAACACAACAGAAGACCCAAACACAAGTACATGCAATTTCAGCCACTTGATATTTGACAAAGGTGCAAAGAACACACAATGGAGGAAAGACAGCATCTTCAATAAATGGTGCTGGCAAAACTGAAACTCCACATGTAGAAGAATGCAATTGGACCCTTATCTTTCATCCTGCACAAAAGTCAAGTCTAAATGGATCAAAGACCTCAATATAAAATCTTGAAACTCTGAAACTGCTTAGAAGAAAACATAGGCAGTACCCCATAAGATATAGGTGTAGGGAAGGACTTTCTAAATAGGACACCAGCTGCATAGGTATTAAGGTCAACAATCAACAAGTGGGACCTCATTAAGCTACAGAGCTTTTGTACAGCAAAAGAAACAACCAATGAAGTGAAGAGGAAACCCACTGAGTGGGAGAAAGTCTTCACCTGTTACACACTGACAGAGGATTAATATCCAGACTATACAAAGAACTCAAAACACAAAGAAACAAGAAAATAAATGACCCAATGAAAAGATGGGCTATGGATCTGAACAGAGAGTTCACTAGGGAATAAAAATGGTTAAGAAACACTTTAAAAATTGTTCAACATCCTTAGTAATTATAGAAATTCAGATCGAAACCACTTTAAGATTCTATCATATTCCAGTCAGACCGGCTAAGATCAAGAGAACAAAAGACACTAAACACTGGTGAGGATGTGGAGAAAGGGGACTGGTCATTCACTGCTGGTGGGAATGCAAACTCATGCAACCGCTATGGAGAGCAGCGTGGAGAACTCTTAAAAACTAAAAATGAATCTATCATATGACCTGGTTATACCACTCCTTGGCATATACCCAAAGGACTCATCCTACTGTAGAGATATGCGTACATCCATGTTTATTGCTGCTCTTTTCACAATAGTTAAGAATGGAAACAACCTAAATGTCTCTCAACTGACAAATGGATAATGAAAATGTAGAACATCTATACAATGGAGTTCTCAGCAATAATAAAAGAGGAAATTATGAAATTTGCAGGTAAATGAATGGAACTAGAGACTGTTATACTATGTGAAGTAACCCAAACTCAGAAAAGCAAGTGATGTACTTTCTTCCTTATTTGTGAATTGTAGCAGCAGTCCCTTATATGTGAGTATATATCTTGATGTAACAGCAGGAACCAGGAAAATGGAAAGGAAACATGGAGGTAAAGGGAGAGAAAGAACCTGAAGGAGGGGCATAGTAGGGAACAGATGTTGGGGGTGGGGGAGTGGGAGTGTTTGGGAGGGGAGGAAGAAGGGACTTGCAGGGGACCAAGGGGGGGTGGGGGAGGAGAGGATTCAAGAGGGTGGGGATAATGGGGGCACTTGGACTGTGGAGGGAGGAAGGAGAGTGGCTGGGGGTTGGTGGGAAGGAGAGATGAATGGAGCTTGGGTGGTGTGGAGGCCAGAGGGAAATGTGTTAGCTTGGGAACCCTTTGAGAAATACATATACCATGTCTGAACATTAGTGCATGTGTATACCTGGGGGCTGTATGTCAAGGAGTATAGTGCCAGACAGAAGAGACCTCCCTTCCAGTGGTTGGTTAGAGTAGTCCAAGCGACTCCCAAAATAACACAGGCTATTGCTGGAGCCCTTGGTTATCTCCTGGAACTACAAGGTAAGAAGATAGGACAAACCTCAGACATAGGATTTGGAGCAATGGAGCAGGAACTGACTTGGAAGGCTTCTACCTGAAGTTTAGCTCTCATAGTTCTAGAGGATACTATGTAAACTGCTGAGGGAGAAAAATCAATCAATGGTCCAACCCAGTACTAAAGCCTAATAACCATGACTGGCACAGCAAACTACCTCTATTGGTGCAGTAGTGACACTGTTATTCAGGGGATAATCAGCAGCTATCTAATCGGACTTAAAGCCCTCCAAATGGGAGTGAAATCATAGGTATATGACTGGAGAGGTCATAGATCCTAGAGAAAACCCTATCTCTGTCATATTTCTAGACAAATGAAATTTCTTACCATATACTAAACATGGACCCTTGTATTTACAGACAAGTATACCATACACCACTCATCAAAGAAGCTGCTTTTTGCAACAGATAGAGGCTACTTCAGAGTTCCACAACTGCTCACACACAGAGAATGTGTGTCTGAGAGATGTCCAACCCTAGGTTACACATCTACAGTGGAACCCCTACACCTAAGTCTCATAGAACATAGTGGAACAGGGGGTGGAGAGAATACTAGTGCATCCCTCAACTCTCACCAGCAAAGCTTCCTTATACAACAGAGTGTGATGCACACAGAAGGCCACAACTGGCTAAGTTTTAGAATAAGAGACTGCAGAGTGTGTGTCCCTGGATAGGACTCCTATATCAAACCTCTCCCACCCATGGCTCAGGGACCATTGCGGAAGAGGGGACAGAAAGTTTGTAAGAGCCAGGGCTGGTCCATGAACATAGGGAAACAGGATTTAGGCCACTAGAAGCTTGCTTATGAACTTGCCGCAATGGTGGTATTGAGCACAGGACCCCCACCAACTCAATCAGACTAGGGCCAGAGTGGAGGGAGGGAAATTGTTGATGGGTTGGCCCTAGCTTGGGAACTTCTGGAGACTGATTACTGCTGGGTGAGGGAGAGCAGACCTTCCTTAAGATCTCCAGGTAGGCTAACTAGACTCCAGTGGGTGAAATTGCACCGAAGGTCATCTGGGTACAAAATGCTTGACTGGATATGACTTAACATGTATGATGGATGAGGCCCAGTGGGAGTGTGTGGGGGCATGCGTGAGGGAGGGAATCTAAACTTGATTAAGAACTGTTATATGAAATTCACAAAAGCTCAATAAAAATATTTGAAAAATGTGTTGATTTCTAGATAGTTCTAAGAGAGGAAAAAAAAAACTCTGGTGGATGGAAATGAAACACTTCAATGGCAGCAGGACAAATACTCTCTTCTTTGAGTACTTTGTTTTCAACTTGGAAAGCATGTAGTGCAAGGGACTGAGTGGGGAGATAGGAGCAAAGGGTCTGTTTTAGTTTGATTTTCTATTGCTGTTACAAAACATTCTGATCAATGTTAACTTTGGTAGGAAAGGGTTTATTTAACTTACATCTCTCAGGTCACAGTTGATCACTTAGGGAACCCAAGGTAGGAACTCAGGGTAGGAACCTGGAGGTAAGAGTTGAAGCACAGGCCATGAAGGAACGCTACTTACTGGCTGGCCTCCCTGGCCTATGCTCAGTCTGCTTTCTTATACAATACAGAACAACCTGTCCATGGGTGGCATCACTCACAGTGGGCTCCCACATCACTCAACAATCGAGAAAAATGTCCTACAGATACGGCCACAGGCCAGTCCAATGGAGGAAATTCCCCAGTTGAGGCTTCCTCTACCCAGGTGTGTCAAGTTGACAACTAAAGCTATCTAGTGCAAGGTCAAAGAGAATCAATTGCTTCTCAGACCTGTTCAGACCGTTTTTATAGTGTTTTTTTTTCACTTGTGTGACTGAATGTGTAATGTATTGATCAACATCAGAGCAAGCCAAGGGAAGGCTTGGGAAGGTAAGCAGTGATCTGAAAAGGTCCTTGGATAGAACAAGACAAAACTCAGGTCATCGACACCTCTTCCTTGTCCTGCTCAAAGCGATGGTCCAGCAGTTGTTAAGAAATCTAGATGGGGCCTGAAGAGGTGGCTCAGCAGTTAAGAGCACTAGTTGGGTTTGGTTCCCAGCACCTACATGGTGACCAGCAATCATCCTTAATTCCAGTTCTAGGGACTCTGACACCACAATCTTGTGGCCTCTGTGGGCACTGCATGTTGTGGGCGCACTTACATACTTGAAGGCAAAACACAATAAATTTTTAAAAATTAAGAAAAATGATGGGGCCACTCATCAGGATTCCAGAATGTTCTACAGGCAAGGGGCTGTTGTTGCTTTGTTTTTCCTTCTCCCTAAGAGAATTCCTTTAAATTCTGACTGCAAGGGGGCTTCCAGACCCACATTTGTTCTGCCTGCCTTTGTGTATTTTGGAGGAAAACACAGGGGTCTGACATCACAGTGATTTAATTCTGAGTTCTGTCTTTTTTACTATTCTGCTCACAGGTGGCTTGTTTACATATGTTTCTGGAGCCAATTTCCTGGGTGAGATCATCGAGTGGACAGGCTATGCCTTGGCCACCTGGTCCCTGCCAGGACTTGGATTTGCATTTTTCTCACTGTGTTTCCTTGGGCTACAAGCTTTTCACAACCACAGGTAAATTCTCTTTCTTTTGAAGAATATTTTTTATTGATTCATTGAGCATTTCATACCATGTATTTTGATCATATCCAACCCTCCTCCCCCATATCCTCTCAGATCCACCCCCACTTCCCTCCCTGCCCCCTACTTCCTGTCTTCTGTTTATTTTAAAGTCTATCAATCCAATTTGTGTTCTCCCAATTCTCTGGGATGTGGGTGTATCCCTGGAGGCACACAGTCAATCTACCCCTAAAGAAAACTGACTCTCCCCCTCCCAGCAGTTATCAATTGCCAATAATCCCTCCAGTAGGACTGGAGTTTCTTGTCTTCCTCTCTTTCATGCTGAAATACTGTTTGTCTTGGCTTGCACAGGTTTTGTGCATGTTGTCAGAACTGCTGTGGGTTCATATGTGCGACTGCCCTACTGTGTCCAGAAAACTTTTGTTGTATTCATCCACCACCTCTGGCTCTTGAAGTCTTTCTGCCTCCTCTTCTGCAATGCTCCCTGAGCCTTTGGGGGAGGGTATGATAGAGATGTCCCATTTAAAGCTGAGGACTTTACAGTCTCTTATTTCTGAAAGTTGGCCAGTTGTGGGTCTCTGTGTTAATCACCATCTGCTGCAAGAAGAAGCTTCTCTAATGAGGTCTGAGAGATACACTAATCTATGGGTGTAAGGATCAATTGTTAGGGTCAGTTTACTATTTCCATTTAGCAGAATAATAGCGGTAGTTTCTCCGCTATGGCCTGTGATCTAACTAACCCAGGTTCTTGATCCTCATAACAGTGTCAGGTATGGGTTCTATCTTATGAAGAAAGCTTTAAATCAAATCAGAAAGTGGTTGGTGATTCCCACAATATTCATGCCACTATTTCACCAGTGGGTATGCCTTGCCAGGCTGGTTGTTACTGTAGCTTACAGGGTTCGTAGCTGGGTGAGACTGATGATTTCTTTTCTCTTTCATAGCATGTACAGCACCTTGCAGCACTATGATAGCTAGCCACTAGGGATGAAACTTCCAGGTCAGTCCCAGCTTGATTTCTCCATGTCATATGACTCAAGTAGGTAGTGTCCTCAGCAGTAGGGTCTTACCATCAAGTTCTGGATAACCAGGATTGTTTGAGGTGTTATGGGACCCCCACCCCTGCCAACAACTTGAAAAGAGAGGACCCATTCCTAACACTGGGCTTTTTAGAATTTGTTAGCCTGTGGTGTATGTATATTTTAGGAATCTTCTGCAGTAGTAGGTTTCCAAACGACTCCTTCAAAAGACCTTTAGTGTTAGTATCTCTCCCCACACTCCCTCCTCTAACCTGCCCTCCCATCCCCCCCCATTAACCCTTCTGTGCCATTATTTCCCTCTCCACCGTCATATCACCACATTTTATCTCCCTTCCCATGAGGCCCCTGTGATCCCCAAGAGGGCACCTTCTTCTGACCCCTTACTAGTTTCTATGAGTTTTCTAAATGAAATACACTTATTCAAAGATTCAAAACTAGCACCCACATTTGAGAGAAAGTGTGTGACATTTGTGTTTCTGGGTCTGGGTTACCTAACTCATGATAACTATTTCCAGCTCCTTCTATTTAGCTGCAAATTTAATAATTTTGTTTTTCTTACTGTTTTTTGTTTCTTTCTTTTTTGCTGTCTTTTTTTTTTTTTTTGAGACAGGGTCTCCCTGTAGCCCCAGCTGTCCTGGAACTCACTATGTAGACCAGACTGGCCTTGAACTCATAGAGATCAGCCTTACTCTGCCTCCCAAGTGCTGGGATTAAAGGCGTGCACCACCATGCCCGGTGTTTTTTATTTATTTCTATCTTATGTGTATGAGTGGTTTGTATACATATATGTAAGTGTACCCATGTGTGCTGTGCCTGTGGAGGTAAGAAGAGGGAGTTGGACTGCCTGGAGTTAAGGATGATTGTTAGCATCCATGTGGATGCTGGCAACCAAACCTCGGTCCTCTGCAAGAGCAGACAGTGCTCTTATCCACTGAGCCATCTCTCCAACTCCAATTTTGTTTTTCTTTTTCAAAAATTTTTATTATTTTTATTTTATGTATAAGAGTGTTTTGCCTACATGTATGTAAGTGCACTAGATGTGTGAAATGCCCTGCAGAGACCAGAAAAGGGTGTCGGATCTCCCGGAACTGGAGTTACCGATGGTTGTTAGCTGCAATGTGGGTGCTGGGAATTCAACCCAGGTCCTCTGGAAGGACAGCAAGTGTTCTTAACTGCTGAGCCATCTCTTTAGCCCCTGTACCCCCATTTTTTTTAACAGCTGACTATTTCATTGTGTAACATACCATATTTTCATTATCCCATTCATCAGTTCACAGGTAAAATTTTCAGTAGAGGTGTGTCTTAGTTTCATTTCCTGTTGCTGTGATAAGACAGAGTGGCACAGGGCTCCTGGCCTACAAGAGACTAAGCACAACAGCTCTCCCAGTTCAGCAGGGTCTGATGCCCATCAGAGGTGTCTTCTTTTAAGGATACAAGGGCTTTGTGAAGGTGTTTGTGGAGCAAGAACAGGTATTGGCAGAGGTTTCCTGCGTACATAGGGTCTTTTCAAATCAGAGCATTGAAGACCAGGCTCTTCTGGCACTTAGTATTATTTTGTCTTCCAGTTCAGACTTTAAGTACTTTAGCAGAGACTATTTTGTCTTTATTATGCCCTGAGGGCCACTATCGTCAACTGGTTGGAGGATAACTTGGTCACATAGGGTAAAGGCTTTATTATAAGATGCGTTAGTCAGTCTCCTTGGGCCATATTAAGAAACGATCACCAGTTGGATGGCTTAAAACAACAGAACTCTGCCCTCTCAGAGCTTGGGATTAAGGTGTAGGCAAAGCTGTGCTCTCTGGGTGGCTTGAGGGAAAAATCCCTCCTTGCCTCTTTCCAGTTCTGGTGGTTACTCACCATCCATGGTGTTTAGTGGCTTGTAGTTGCCTCATTCTAACCTCTGCCTGTCTTCATGTGGCCTTCTCTCCTATTTGTCTCCTTCTCAGGGACTCTTTTCCTCTTCTCTCAGGAATACCAGACATATGAGGCTAAGGGCTCACCTGCACCAGTATGAGCGCATTTAAATTAATTATGCCTGCAGTAACATAGCTCCAAAATAAGACTGCATGCTCAGGTTTTGGGAGTCAGGGCTTCAATCTTTCTTGTAGGGACAAAATTGAACCTATAATACAGTGGCATACCTGGGCTTCATGAAGGGCTATTTTCCAAGAAAGGCTGCCAATTCTCTGAGGTTAATCAATTTTTGCAAATTTATTTTTATTAGCATATGTTAATTAAACTAAATAATGGGCATCACCATGGAGTTTTCATACATACATGTGTTTTTTAAAATTATTTGTTTAATAACCACATAATTAGAAGAAGCATTTCATTACAACAGCATTGACATATTCAATAACAATTTCCAGAGCTAAGATGC